CGCGCAATATTCGTTTAAAATATTTAAACGAATATTGCGTTTGATTGACGGATTATTCGAGGGTAGAAATTCACGGCACTTGTCTTAGTGGTAATAATTCAACGGGTTTGGCCATCGCGCCGTCGAATTATACGATACGAGTAATATTTGATAGAATCATCTCCTACTTTCGGGGCCAGCAAACAGCTCGCTATAATTGATTCAATCCTATCTAAAAAAGTGCGTGTTATCGTGAATGTATTTCTTAGCGAAGCGTTGAAGCCTCTTTTCCGCGATATTGATTGGTCGTCTCGACTGTCTCGATCGTCTCGATCGGTCACGGCTGCATTCGTGTCGCCCGCAGCTGTCACCGCGGAGAATGACAGCTGAAAGACAGTTTGTACGAAAGGAGTTATAATGGGGTTATATCAGGTTAACAATTTTATAACATAAAATAATAAGGTATAATATATTTTTTCTTCTTTATCGGGTAATGGTAATAAATATAACGAGAGAGAGAGAGAGAGAGAGAGAGAGAGAGACTGAGGAAGACAGAGAGGGAACGAGAGAAAGTGAGGGGGAAGAGATAGAGCTTAAGATGGGCTTGAATAGAAATGTTGAACGTCGAAATTTTCATTGGTTACGCGTTACTATCCAGAAAATATGTGTCATGGAATTTCAAACTGTATGCGCCTAATACATCGTATGTTGGAGTCGGATATTATCGAACTTATATTACACTCCAGGGATTATTTTTAATTTATAATATTTATTCTGAACTTTAATATGAATAAGCTAAGATGGCGCGCGCGTAGCGCGGAAATAATCAGAGCAAATCTAGAACTTGTAATGTTCTAGTTAGAGAGAAAAAGTAGGTGACTTCCGGCTTCTCCTATATCTCGCACGCATGAGTAACTTGAAACGAAGAGATATTTTTCGTCGGACGGCTGCGAGCAGCTTGTCCGTTGGCTCGCAGATACATCGATTCGTTATCGAGATATTGCTTTCGTGCAGCGCCACGGACAAGGAGCGGTCGGACTCGCGAAGATTTATGATTTCGCCGAACGTTCGCCAATTTTTTCCCTTTCTCTCGCTATCTATGATATCGCGTCGTGTCGCGTCGCGTCGCCACGTTCAAGAGAGTGTGCACGAGCATAAAATGAGAAATCGTTCGTTGTTGCATTATCCTTGTTGACGTGGAAAGTAACGACGTGTAATGGGAGAATATATGCAATACGCCGAGCATGGTGTTTTGCGTTCTCGATTCGTTCGAACGCTCGCACGTCTCGTTCAGAGGCCGGACAAATAAAAATCAAGAGACAAACTGTCGTCCGCAAATCATCGACACTGCCGGCGCGAGTTGCCAATACAGCTGGATCTTTGGTAGTATTTGTCGCCAATTTCGCGGGGCAACACTGTCAGCCCATTAACCCCTTAACCTACAATATCGAGTAAGACTCGTGGTAAGAAATTCGGGCCAAAAACAAGAAACACGAGCCTGGCTCGTGATATAGATTATTAATTTTCTGCGAGCTTTTTTCAAAACATTATTAATTTAAACTAGCATTTATTTACAAATTGTTACTGATACATTATTCACTTTCAAATAATAAATCATTTTTGCTCACTGATGAATCGATCGTAATTGCTCCCCAGACATCTTACAACGTTAAATTAAACAGTTGTACCTTGCAACTGCGTGCATATGTGTGAGAATAATAAAAGTATTAGTTGTGTTTATTATTTCACATTTCCTTTCGTTGCGACGAAATATACATATCACAAACGCATAGGATTTGCACAAGTTCGAGCACACGGGTGAATAACTCGACGCGTGACCGATCTTCTTGTTGATTGCGGCCCGCGCCATCGAGACTTAGCGCGTAGGGCAAGGGATATTAACCTTATTAAAGTTTCCGTCGACTCACGTCCACCGGCAAACAACAAGACCGTTGTGATTAAAGTGGAAACCGTGATCGCCAAGATAATGGAATCCTTTTGCGTGTTTCTTCCGCTTTGCAGCCTCGGCTCCGTGCGTGAGCCGGCCCGGCAGGATTTATTCTCCTTTCACCAACGGTACCCTTAGTTAATGAACTGAACCACCGGGGTGTATCAATCACTCGAGGACGCCCTTCCGGAAAGTTAAGTCATGTTCGAGCTACCAAGTTGCATTGAACTTATACATATGAAACTGGCTATATTGAAGTTTCGCAAAGTTCTCCGCGGTGTAATACAAATACGAAATGAAGATGATCATCGATAGTCATGCCTCCGTCATTGTTTGAGACGCGCGTCCAGGCTCGATTCTCAGCGATATTTTGTACATTGTGATGTTTACATGTGTGCGCTCTCATCGTTACTCGACATACGAGCGAGGACGTTACTGTGGTTCCCCCAGCGCAGAGGAACGCCGTGCCTCGGAGGATGGGGAAATTGAGCACATACGTCGATAAATCTCGATATTTTTCGATAAGTCGCTCGATGGAATTTCCACTGTACACAGGATTGTGGCCAATCGATGGCGGTGTACCTACGCACAAATTGAAGTCCCGCTTGCCCGCGTCACGTACAATACAACTCGCGTCTCCTACGGTCTCTTCCTGATTACCAATACATCTCAACCGTTCCCGATCTCGATTACCTCCAGTAACGTCGTGCCCAAGCGTACTTGCACTTAATCTCGTTAATTGTTAATGTACAGAATCGTACAGAAAGTGCGACTAATCCGGTCTCTGTTTTATATTTCACAGAGAGCTTTTTACATTTTCCCTTAAAAAGGAGGAATAGCAAAAAGCAGTTTGGTGGCTCGACGACTAGACTCGTCTGTACAATTGGATATACAGTTGAGCAGATCGTCGTGCTGCAGCTTTAAATCCAAATTATGACATTTACGTAATGTAGCGTTTGCTCTGGCGAAATTATTTCCGTTTCACTTCGTGATACTTTCAGAGGAACTCGTGTATTACGTACGTGCTATTCGTTAATCCTTTCAAGAGTGCGTAATAATTAGTTGTAACAATTGTGCGTCCATAATATTTATCGACAAATTCAATTTGATCGCATCAATGTCGTCTGTCATCAGATCACAATTAGAATATGTTTGGCAAATTGGCAAGATTATACGCGTGCTTAATATACAGGAACGCTTCACCATTATGCAGAAATTCCCTATTCATGATAAAATAAGTTGTTAATAGATTGCGAATATTTATGCAAATATATGTTTCGGTAGAAATTGAAACTGAAGTCGAAATATAATATGAATGCAGAGAATGAAATTTATCGCACATATGTTATATGCAAATGCAATTTATCGCGCATTGATAATTCCGCTGCGAATATTTGCGCAAAATGCAATACTAAAATTAGAATAATAATAATAAAAGTACGAAAATAATTTATTTATAATTATAAATGTCTATATACATATAACGTTTGGTAAAAACATAATGTCGAGTCAGGATTAAAAGTATTAATTTCAATGTTAACATAATACATACAATACTTTTCATTTAAATTATTAAATTCACATTTGACTTTTATCTATAAGGCCATTTGAAAGCAGTTGTTTACTCGATTGACAATAAACAACAACTTGTACAAAAAATAAAAAATAAATATCAAATATGCAGTATTGCAGGAATGTTTGAATGCACAAGGCAATGCATAAGGTGAAAAATTCATAATCATATTTTTTGCACGGTGGACATTTCGAACACCTCCTTTAATTATTGTATTTGTAATTTTTGAAATTCCTTTAAATAAATATTATTGCATATATCACGTTAACATCGAAATTAATTTTTTTAATCTCAATTCGACATTAACTTTTTAACTAAGAGTTTTAGGCATTATGTGTTTCTAGAAACTTTTTGATTGTCTCGATGAGCAGAATGTAATTACCTAGCTAGTCCATTCTTTTTGAAACACGTTATATATATATATTTTTTATTTCGCTATTCTTTTTGCATCAAATAAAAAAAAATAAAAATTTCATTTATACGTGAGCATTCGCAGTCTATTAAATAATATACGATATACGAATCATGTTTGCATATCTGTGTCATTAATAAATAAAAATCCAATGAAACCTAGCGTTTCGCTATTCAACAAATTTCTGCAAGCGATATCGGCTGGTAGTGCTACAACTTTCGCATGGAATCCATCGATACCGATAGCTTGACCGGACTATTAAACGTTCTATATTCGAGATTTAAGTTGTATCTAATGCTTTCTACTTAACCAGGATTTCACTCGAAAGGAAACGATGTTTGTTCAAAACATTTGCCCCTGAGATACGAGAGACTCGCGCATCAAAGGTTTTCCTCGTCCGGAAAGAGTTCGCTCTTCCAACACGTCCGCCTTTTTTCCTCCGCATTATCGGCGAACGCTGCGCGGCAGTGAAGTGAAATCTGGCTAGCAACGTGTTCTTGCCGCCGGCAATCTTGTAGAAGTTCTCGCAACTCGCACGAAAATCGGTTTCTCAGAAATGTACGATATATCTACGTGTAGGAAATCGATTACTGATCATCTGACCGCCGCGAAAGTGATTGCTCCCTTGATATTCCGGACGGCGCAGCAAGAGTCGTGGGTTAACGTAAACCGCGATGCCAGATAAATAATTTATCTCCTACGATTAACCTGAACGTGCGTTGTGTATATACAACCTCCACGAGGTACCTCTTCGCGAAGCTCACAAAGACTATCGACCTGTGAATGGTCGGCGGCGGCGAGTAATGACTTTCCCCTCTCGCGGCCACGCATCTCACGAATATTTATCGATACGATTACAAACTTACTTATTTTTGTGAACTTTAAGCTAGAGCGAGGTCCGGTTCGCGGTCGAATATGCGCGTAAAATTTGTAAACGATTCATTCGCTTCTTGCTGATCTGTAGATGTTGCCCATTTTTAGCCCATTTGCCCATCTTTAGACGTTCCACTTTCCACGTCGGCTCTACTTTTTAGCACGGACTCTATTAGTTTCGAACTTCGTAGCTTCGGAATAAAAAAACAACTTACCCTCCAAGACTCGAACGCAATCGATGTGGTTTGGATACGGATCCGGATAATTCGGACTGTAAAATTCCCCCTTCGCCTCGTCCCCGATCTCAAACTTCTCGCAGGTGTCTGGAGCGTGCCTCATGTGCCGTCGTGGTACGGTGATGTCTTTCATGGACGTCGCCGTCGGCGTCGTATTTTTCAGATCCTCGCGCGAGAACGTCTCGGTTGATAGTCGTGTCTCGAGCGTCGGTACTATCTGCACACATTGTAAAGTCACATTTGAATTTATATGCGAGCATCGTGACGCGTCAAACAGTGCGGGGTTCTTCTATAATTCACACCACGACGGCCCGACATGTCGGGAAATCGTGCGTAGATAAGGGAAAATAAGAGGAAAAAAATCCTCCGCGCATGCACGAGCGATTTTGAGGTGAGTGGGCTCTTGGTGACTTTCGCCGACGTGTGCGCACCTCGAGCGTTAATTTCGATCGCGCGGGATTGAAAATTTACGCGATCAATGAGCCATAAGCCTTTAATGCCGGGATACGAGGCCGTTAATTAAATGGCAGCCGGCTGTGCTTTGGGCAACTGGTATCGCGACGCTAAATTATAGTTATCGCCCGTATTACGATATCGGAGGAACTGCGTTGAATAATTACGACTATTATTATGTCGTTATGATGAGCAATGTCGCACGGGAAGCGGGAGGTGGTGTTATTTGGCTCCATATATCGATGTCTTATCGAATTTAATGCGCTTTACAGTTTGCAAGCATGCCCAAGTCCGAAACGATTGACGAGAAATTTATAAAGAAAGTATAACAGCTTGTACGAATATTCTCTCGCACTTTCGATCTTATTTGATTACCGACGGAACGATTGGAACAATCGATTATTGGCACTTCTACTTTAAAAACTCTGGAGTGATCGAATTGTCAGCAAGTGAGGGGTAGATGGAAAGATTATCTACCAATCCGGAGATTTCTCTCGACATCTATGTATTCGAGACATTTACAGCATTAATCATGATGAAATTTTCAAACAGTCGTTATTATAATAGCTACAAGATTCGGTACGAATTACGTCGTAGGAGCTTCCGGTAGACGACATCCTCGCCGAGCGATAGTCGGTCGTCGACGACTGCGGGGATGAGGACTCGACGGAAATCCGATTGAACTGATCCGTCTGGTTCGTTTCGCCGTTCCTGAAGGAGATGGACTGGTTACGCCGTGCGATCTTCGCGTCCCCGATGTCATTTCCCCCCGGCGACTGCACCCTCCCGTCCTCGTCCTCCTCCTCGGACCTCTCTTCGGTCACCGTTTCCAGGAAACTGAGGTCCGAACGAGCCCCAGGACTTGACCTATCTACGCCCCAAGGGGTAGTTTCCGGGTGCTTGTCGCTGGAGAGCCTGGTCTCCCTCGCAGCGTGCTCCAGAGAACTCGAGGATGGCCAGGATCGCGGCGATGAGGATCGACTCGTCTTCCGGGTGCTGTACGTGTTCCACCGCGGATCCTCGGTCTTTCCCGTGACCTCCGCGGACGCTCCAGTAACTGAAACAATAGTGGGCACGAGTTTAAGCGTGCGTGCGTGTGCGTGACGCGTACAATTTCAGTGCAAAAATATTTTTCCGCAATGTCTCCTCATTAACAAGGAGGAATTAACAAGGAAACATAGGATGCGCGGAAATTTAAAAAATTCTGCAATTCTGTGTGGAAGTAAAGTAGTTCATCCGTAATGCAAAACTATTTTTTATTCGTGCGGATTCCCAGTCTGAGGAGGTGAAACCACCCTTCGAAAACGAAAAAATATTTTCATTTTTAGAGTATATTTTTTTTAAATATAAAGCATATGCAAAAATGGTTTATATGAAAGTTGTAGTGTATTTCATACTCTTTGCAACTGTATATTCAGATTTTGCAAAATTGAACAATTTTTGAAACCCCCTCCGCCCTCTTCCAATTTTACAACTTTGAACTACTTTACTTTCGCACAAAGTTCCAGAAATTTTTTAATTTCCGCGTTCCCTATTTCCTTGTAAGTCCAAGATTCTCGACCATCATTATACCTGATGCAGAAATTTCGACGTAGAATAACACGAAGTAGTTTATCGAAGCAGTACAGTCGATATGTTTACGGAAATTGGAATCGTTCTTGACATCTGTTATGTGTCATTAGAAAAGATAGAAATTATTCAGACAGAGTCTGATATTTGTTTTTTTAATCGATTAGATTAATCGGAGATCGGTATCGCGCTATTCATATCTGTTATACGTCATTAGAAAAAGAACAATTATTAAAAATAAAAATAGTTAAAATTAAAATTAAAATTAAAATTAAAATTAATTATTAAAAATTATTCAAGTAGAATCTGATCTTTTTTCTAGTTTAATCGCTAAAAGAACACGATGTACAGTTCGTGTCGATCAATTGGCAGCGTCCAATTATATTCGAAAAAGACTGGGACAAGTTGTGAGGCGCATGTTCTCTTCGAGAACAGTCGATTCTCATTTCAATGCTATCGAACGGAGTAACGATATATGAGTGGCACGAGAAAAGGCGCGCGACTAAATTGGGCGACCGGATTCCATTCACGAAAATGCTACGCGAACAATTCCCGTGTCTCCCCTTTGGATTCTCTCTTTTAGCTTTTTTTAGCTTTCCGGAAATTAACTAAGTTTCACGCCGTCTATCGCGCTCGCATTGAAAATGCAGATAGTTTGATTTGCAGCGAAACGATCGCTTTGATTTAACGAGATTATCCACGTCAGTTTTGTTGCCTTCACGTTTTTTCTGTAGACTATTTACTCATTTATTAAATTGTTTATCGCTACTAAAAGTTCTACAAGAGAACGTCGGTATATATTATATGATAACGCATTTGTTATATTATGCAAATAAAATGCTTTAATAATCGAATAATTATAATATTGTAAACGTGAATGTTGTGTTAGTCAAATACTTCACAATAAATTGCGTCAGTTTATTCAAACATATGTATAATATCACAATTCCAAATTCGTTATTAGATTTTTATTATTTGTTCTTAGACGTGTCTTTAGATATCTGTTTATTATCATAAAACACTGTTACTAATATGTTCTTTTTAAGTAGATTCTTCATTGAATTTAACATTGATAACTTTTCTGTTGAAAGAAATTGTAGATTCTTGAGGAAATCATTTTTCCTGTCATTTCGACGCATCTTTCCTTCAAGAAAACAGCTCTTACCAAAAGCTTATATCAATGCAAAATAGTATCTTTTGATTCCAAGATTTATTTGTTTAATATGAATAATGCATCGAATGCAAAGGTGAGATGAGATTCGGGCAGAAATCCTTAGAGTTAAATGTACAGTTTTGAGGAAACGACTTAAAATATTTTGCATAATAATTATACGAATAATGCTAAGGGAATATCGAAGTGCGTGTTCTCTTCGTCGAGCGCATTTTGCCGAAGAACAGCAGCTTGACGGGAAACATACGATACTATATTTTATGCGTGGAATTCAGACAGGAACATCTCAATATAAAACTTTAAAGCGCTCTTTTATCGGATCGATATACCGTGGCTTCTTCTCTTCGGGCTAAAACGCGGTAACCACGCGCAACTCCACCAACCGTGTTGCGTCTAAATCCCGTCATATCTTCCTGAGAAAAAGCTTTCGTCGTGTCTAGCATCATGAGAGACTTGCTTGCAAATTTTTAGGTCGGCGTCCTATACGGGCTTACCTTTTCATCGATTTTAGGATGTGATAAGCTAAATTTCTATCCGAAATGCTTTTATCTTGTGCTTCGATCTCATTTCTGAAAGACAGCGCTCTTGAAAAGTCGACCGAATGATATCGACTCGATACAAAGTAGTAAACTTGAAATAGCTCACTTGTGCTTTAGTATGTAACTAAGTCTAATGAGCCTATATATGTGTATGTGTGTAAGTTTAAGTAAAATTCGACGTTATATTTCCTCGTGATGCAGAAAAGAATCGTCAATATATAAAAAATTATTATTAATAAAAGAATTAAAAAAGATATGATAACAAGCATTATGAAGTAAATATCGTTGCCAAGATAGTTGGAATAATAATAATAATATTTTTTGTTTTATGACATTTCTTTTTTATAAATATGCATATAAGACGAGAGCACATAAATGCTCACACAAATGCTATAAAAGAAAACACATGCAGTAAATCATTCGTTATTGATTATTCGAACCGTTCCCACAAGGTTACCATTTCCAAATGCAACGGTCCTTGTGCCGATTACTTCCCTGCGATTACCTGCATCTCATAAACATCAGGTTTTATGCATTCCAACGTTAGCGATTTCTAGACTTGGTTAGATAAAGGTCGCACGGGTCTTATCGAGAGTAATCGTGCGCGAGTAAGGTCAAAACGCATTCGGTCCATTTGCCGCTCATTTCTCGAATAAGAGTCGACATATAACCGCCTCCTTGAATTGTTGCTGTTACTCGAGGTCTATAGCAAAACGTGGGATATCGATAGTCTCGTTTTGTTCCCCTAAAACTGCCAATAGAAGCGAAAAGTAAAGAAACGAAAGGAGGCGAAAGTTGAAAGAAGTGAAAAGTTTTGATGTTAAACTTATATTAAGATAGATCACTTTTGTTACGATATATCTTGATGATTTTACTGCAAATTAATATATTATCTTCATTCCAGCAACAACTAACGTTGCAACAAGTCTTTGTCTAATATTTTTTTGTTCTTTTTTCCATTTTGGAACTAAAAACATCATGTTTATAACTTATTAAATAACTTATTAAATATCATTTTTCTCACTTTATAAATAAATGTTATCCTTACATAAAATATTAAACAACGACAGGATTACAGATTGATCTAAAATAAGATTTTGAATATGAATGTTAAAACGTAATATAAAATCTTCCCTGTTAAAGACAACCTATATCGCGAGCCAACTCGGAGAGAAACTCGGAGAGGAAGATGCACACGAATAATCCTCCTCGAAAAGGGAAGTCCTTCGAGCTTATTTCTGCTCTTATAATTATTGATAAGGCATAACTGCGTAACGAATAAATCCATTGAGTTTGTAGTATATGTTTGTCTCCTTCTCTACTTACAGGCGAACATTTTTCGCATGCATTACGAAATGTTGACAAATTGCTCGCCGCGGTTACACCGTTGAATTCCGAGAACTTTCTGCAACGTGCTGTTTCGGAGGCATCGGGTTTTCCAAGAGCAGGAAACGACGGCGGAAATCTACATCCACCTGTACCGAGTAAATCAGATCCTCGCCTGCTACGCGTCTCCCCGTTCCTCCTTTCATCCCTCCTACTCCGCTCGTGGCTGTCTGCTGCCCTCCAGTTTCTCGGCAAACAATTTTGTAGCTTCTTGTTTCGCTCTACCTTTTCGCGTTACTTCACCTCTCGTCGCTTCGTGCGCGCGCGCGCGCGAGGGTGCAGCGCATACCCGCGATAATCCCTTTTTCACTCGGGACATTCATCGCGTTGTTTACGCCATCGCTTTTTCTTCAAAGAGCCCATTTCTCCCATCTCATCTCGAAAATGGTTTGCGTTGTGCGCGAAACGAGCGATACTTTTGCTTTCGTAGCCGTGAATAATATTGCTAATACGTAACGTAAGCGCTATTGTTAAGCTCTCTCGGCATTAATGTTTAGCTGTGGAATGAAAAACGTTCACTGTTGCTCACCGATGTAACGGACTTCTCTACGCCGCCACTTTTTTTCATAATGCAAAGTTATTATCACAGTACATCATTTTGAAAGTGCAGAAACTGAAGAAACAAAATCATTCTGCTCTGTGAATCTTGCGGAAGCGACCTTATTCATCGCGCTTTATATACGACGTGTAAATGTTAATTTTATGTTTCACGCGCGAAACTTAAGTTTCTGTAAGATTTTATCTTACGCTTAAGCAGCATAAACGAGTGGTGCTTGAAGTTAAAGCGGAAGTTCCCAGTGCTGATGGGGCTGATTATTTTATAATGCGCAACGCCTCAAGAGCAGTCTTTGCGGAATGGCGTACCCTCGAGTCTGAATTAACTTCCTTTCGCGCGAAGTACAGATTCGTTCGGCGGACTAAAAAGGGTGTCAGACCTGACCAGCATTCGGCACAAAGAAAATTCAATGAAACGCGGCGCGATATTGGCGCGAAACGAAAGAGACGAGCAGTGTAAACATCAGCTGCATAAGATACGCGATTGAAAAAGTAATCGGCGAACGAGTACAAATAACGGCAATCTCCAATGAATACGTTTTTTTTCCGAAAAATATCGCGGACGTATACCGTTATGCAGTATAAACGAAGCAATTAAGAAAAACAAAAAAAAAATACTGACGCGCTGTTTCAGATTTTTGGAAAACAAACACGATGAAGTTAAATGTATACGTGTGTGTGTGTATGTGTGTGATCCTGTATGACGGTCACGTGTAAGGCTACGATTGTTTGCAGCCTCGATTCCTGTGGGCACTGGATCGGCCGCGCGCGGAATCTATTTTTCGCGTTGTGGTTGCGCAGAAACGAGATACTGCACGGCACGAGAATACACGTCGG